AGGGGGAGGGGGTAGATGTGCGCGTATCTGCTTTACTTTACCCCAAAAGGAAAAAAATCGCCAACATCTTTCACCAAGATCTGCTATTGTATGTACAAAGTGAACCTTAAATTCACTTCCTATGAGATATCATTCCTTATATGATGTTTGTTAGAGAAACTTTATTTCAAAGCTTGCGGCCGTGGATGACACTTGAAACCGAGCAGTTATTCATCCTTATGCCCGGTAGCACTAAGCTCCCTCTATTCACGGGGTTTGGAGAAGGGCCGGGCCACAATGGTCTATTGTACGCAGTATTACCGTGCATTTCTGCAAGAGGCTGTTTTCATGGCTCGAACCCGTGACCTCCTGGTCACATGGCAGCAGCTATACCAGTTACGCCAAGACTCTCCTTCTTTATCCATCCCTATGGAAGGTCTTTATTTAACTAGTCATGTCATTTTAGTAATTCACTTTGTCAAGTTGTATATGTGATCATATTAGAATTAGGAGACTCATGCTCTAGGTGAAGTTGAGATGAATAGTGGACTCGAATATGATATTTCTGCCAGTTCAAGTTCAAGGATGACTTGTGGTCCAACCCCTTATAAAAGCAGTGGAAGCTCCTCCCTCTTGATTGCTGCCATGTGATTAATAAATAATGATTGGACTTCAGAATCTGAGACGGGTTTAAATGGAGCGACATTGACAGTCTGGATTCATATAGCCGACCCTAGCTTACTTTGAGTATCTGCCTTTGCATCGGAGCAAGGAGGAGAGCTTTGAATGTTGTCAATGTTATGCAGGTGAGATTATGATAGGTAGAGTAGAATAGAAACAGAGGATAATTGTATTTCTGGCCAAGCTTATTTGTTTTAAAATTAATAGAATTGTGCTTCTTTATTTTTTAAAAGTTTGCTTTTGATAATGATGATGTTGATTATAATTTATTCAAGTCTACAATTAGTGTTAGAAGCTGTAACATACAACTTCCATACCAAGGATACAAGTACTGCTCACAGCTCTTTAAAATATTTTTTATAGTCGGTGCACAGAAGTTAAACTCTTTCTTTACAATGGAGTCAAGTACAGACCGACTACCGAGTTGGCACAGTTTCTTCATGCTCCTGGTGGAAATAAAAGATGATAAAGTTTTCTATCAATTAACAACAATAACAAATCTAGTGTAATCTCATAAAGTTGGATCTGAGGAGGGTAGAGTGTATGTAGACTTTACTCCTACTTTTGTGAAGGTAGAAAGATCGTTTATGGAGATTCCTGGCTCAAAGAAAAAAAAAGATAATAGAATAATCGAAGCGAAAGAAACAACTCACCTATCAAATATCAAAAATATCAAAATAACGACAAGGAATTTACAAAAGATAGAAAGTTCTCGTGACCTCTAAGCTTTTACCAACTCACACATTGGTAGAAAATAAAAGCTGATGAAGTTTCGATTATATCTATCAATCAATAAATCCATTATCTTAGTAACCTCGGGGTTAGCTTAATTGGCAAAGGTTGAGGGCTTTGTGTCTTAGATTATAGGTTCGAGTTCTACACCAAAGCGAACAATTAACTTTAGTATTTAAGTAAGGGTAAAGGTGCATGTTCATTATTCTTTGAGTTTCGAAGGCTGCGGTTGACCCAAAGGATCCACTCCATACGGAATTAGTAAAAAGTTGAGCCTAATATAATTTTGTTTATCGTGAAGGGTTAGAAGTAATTGACAATCCACTAAACCATACTACGTTACGTTAGAAATTTAATACGTTTAGTTCAATTGACAAGATTGACTAACACATCAACAATCTAAAAAGCTATATATAGGTTTTGAGTTCAATTCTTCTATGTGATTGGAGTAACTTTTTTTAATCGTTTCCCATATTTCTATCTATTATATTATATATTATATAGAAAAAAAAAAAGATGGTCGACCAAGGGCATATATGTCATTTCATAAAATTTCATGTTTGCATTTCTTAAATGCATAATACACGTGGATCCCACATTCCTCTAGCCACAACTCTCCTTTAAATGCACTATGCATGTGTTGATTAGACTGTTTGTGCAGTGCAAATGCTCATTTCCAATCTTTTTCTCATTTTGGAAAATTATTAATTTTGTTTTATTTAAATAGAAGTTTCCATAGAGAAAATAAAATTAATTTTTAAATAATACAAAAACAAAAAGAAGTATGATATTTACAAGATTTTCATATTTACCCATACTATCTTCAAGCAATTTGAAAATAAAAATTAAATGATTTTCAACTATCCATACTATTTGAAAACGATTTCAAACTAAATATTTTTATATTCAAAAGTAATTTCAAAAAATATAGCTTGTTAAACCTCAAAAGATAATTAACTAACCACCAACAAATAATAATTTTAATAAAATTGCAATGGGGCCCGTATACGGGCCTTTCCTTATCTAGTTCTACTTATAATAGCTGATGTTACTAAACCTAATTACAATTTGACGTAATTAGGGGTGGAAAAATGGTTTTAAAAAAAATGATCACTAGAAATTCTCCCCAAAGTGATCATATTCAAGAAGTTATGGATAATATGGATGTCCATATTATACGCCGGTTAACCGATTTTTTATCTGTATTAAATATGGATCGGGTCAAATAATTTATCCGTTTTGCATTACCCGTTTTCGACATGTCATATCTGACCCCGACTCGCCTGTTTGTCACCCCTAGACGATAGTTGTTTCATTTATATTCCACCTTTAACTTAAATAAAGAACGGTAAGAATTAGAACGATAATATAACTAAATTACCCTAATTTATTCTTTGATTTTAATTCAATACTACTCTTCCTTCCACCCCATTAATTTCTCCCCACATTTATTAGGGTAAGGGTTAAGGTGGAAACATAAATAATTCTATCTTAATTTTTAAAATGACAATTGCTTCGAACCAAGTATTTTTAATAACCACGACAACTAAAATGGACAGGAGGGAGATTAGTTGCGACTCCCAATATAAGCATCTAAAGGAAATGAATTTAATATTTTCTAAATATAGGTGTCATTTGATCTTCCTATTGTAGTTGAACAAAATAGATTTGAAAATTTGTCTCCCTGATCTTCTCTTAATATGATCTCAACTATAATGCAACTATCTTTGTTTTTGTAATTCTCATGTTAGGTAGGTAGCTCATATCCTGGATATGGTTTGAGAGTTAAGAGATTTCTTTATTGTTAAATTCACATAATTTCCTTTTTCTTGTCGCTTTCTTCGTAATGGTTCAGCCAATCAAGGATCGTGATGAGATGGATAAAACCCTTTCATCGTAATAAGAGCTTTCGAGATCGAGCCTTAAGAATAAAAAACATCCGAATGAAAAGTATTTCCCCTTTTAATGAACCTTATGCAATATGAATTTGAATTAGTCGAGACCCCAAAAAAACAAACAACGGACCTCGGGCGGAAAAGAAAACGGATCAGTGGACAACAAGATCTTTTCTTGATTTAATTTTTAATTAATTATATATATCCAAATTGTAAATGAGAAAATGAAAAAAGTGGTAGGAACATGGAACATGAGAAGTAGTGGCTAAGGTTATCCTTTATTCGTTTACATTGACTTCAACTTCTGTTACTTCTCAACGTCGCTATTGTAGTTTATTGATAAAATCTTGTGTTATGCATTAATTATATCTAATGCTGTTCTACGAAGTTATTTTGTCAAACATCTAATGGTGAAAATAGTATGGGCTGACCAGTTTTTGAACTGGTAATCGAAAAATAGTTAATATTTGCAAAGTCATTAAAAAATAGTCAACTATCTTATGTGGAGATAAAATATGGACAAAAATATCCTTGCTGAAACACGGAAAGTTCCAGCATAATATGCTGGATTATATAGCTACTACGTGTAAACTTCCAGCATATTATGTTGGAACTCCAGCACATTATCCTGAAATCTCATATGTAAAAAATTCGAACTCCAGCATATTATGCTGGAATATTTTCGGATTCTTAAGGGTATTTTTTGTGCAAATTTTATCTTTACATAAAAAAATGCCTAAATTTCAATTACTTTTGAAATTATGACTATTTTTCAATTACCTTTTTCCTTATCAATGTTGTTTTGTATATTAGAATGCCATGTCAATTTCTTGATTTTGGCAAGAGGAGAGAAATTTGTCAAACTCGAATCTTGTTTTATTTTTAAGATTATAAATCTCACATTTTAATTAAGAAGCTTATCTGTAAATGTTCTTCGGATACGACTCGATAACATAAAAAAGTTACTTATATACTGACGCTTATATAACTTAAACTCTTCCAATAATTGCTCACGCAAAATAAGTATTTAAATTAACCAAACTACATCACTGTGTGGTTACTGCTCACAACTCTTCAAAAAAAAAAAATGTAGAAGAGGAGGAAATTAAAATAACAAAATTAGAATTAAAGTTTCTAAATTTCACAACAAATAATTAGCTAAATTAAGATCTCTTGAGTCCGTTGTACACCCAAATCACTCGATATCCTATTACACAACTGCATACAAAAAAAAATTATAGTTAGTTTCACATGTTTAATTTGAATGCTTTACAACTTTATTTCAACAAGGTACGTAGACGAGAATGTCGAAATATGTATACCTGTCTATATACTGTAGAATCCCCTGAAGATTTTTGTAACTCTACGACATATAAGGATGGAATAATCTCGAATACCTGCAAATTGTGCATCGAGAAAAAATTAGTATTAACTATTTTTTTTATAACGTCAGTGTACAGAAATTAAACTACAGATTATGTGCAGTAAAATGTTACATACGTACCTCCGCGACTACCGAGAGAGTAGATGGGCATTTTTGTCCTTTGTACTCTTGTAACACTTTCAACTGCAATATATGTGCATGAAGAACATAAGACGTATGTATATATATATATATATATATATATTATACATAATCAATGTATATTTTGTATATATTTGACTAGTAATTGTAATTATTACGTTATAAGCCCATGCAAATATAGACAGAATATCTACTTCAATATATACTAATTACCCTTCCATGTCTTTTTTGTACTTGAAATCCCATTTGTGTTACTGTATTCTCAATCCTGTCCAGCAACTGTTTTGGTAAGAGATTTGATGTAAATCTGATTTTCCTCTCAGAAATGTCCTAAAATAATTCAAAATAAAATGTAAGTCTAGGTTTGTTATTTTTTCATTGCATAATATGGTAAATAATTCAAAATTAGAGTTTACCTCTTTCTCGAAAAATCCAGAAAGATCTAGACAAGATGACATCCCTATTAGTTGAAAGGCATTGATAAGGGAATGTGATTCCGGATGTCTTTGCGCGCCAGTCGGCTGTAAAACAAGTCATAGATATTTGTGCCGTCATAAATCATTTCATTAAAGATAAAATAAGAAATTTAAAGTTATGAATATTGTTCCTAAAAAAAGGAGCACAAAGCATTTCGCGTTCGTGCATGGTTCGGAGTGACCGCACCCCAAGGGAGTGTGATGTAGGCAGCTTACCCTGATACAAGCATCAGTGGCTGATACCATGTAACAACTCAGCCCCCTAGTGATATTGTCCGCTTTGGACATAGGCCCGCACTGCTTTAAAACACGTCACTAGAGTCTAAGGTCTGTCTACTTATATACCTAGCATCTCTCTCGTGTTTTGTCGATGTGGGATTCGGCACAGCGAGGACGCTGAGTCCCTAAGGGGGGTGTATGTGACACCCTAGCCGAATCTGACATCGGCAAAACACGGGAGAGATGCTAGGTATATAAGTAGACAGTCCTTAGACTCTAATGACGCGTTTTAAAGCCGTATGAGCCTAGGCCCAAGCCGGAAAATATCACTAGTAGGATGGGTTGTTACATTCTACGGTTCAAACACGTGACCTATATACAGAACGAAAAATATATACTGCTGTTAAAAAGAAAGGTGTGTCACATAAAGTGAAATTACCGTTGATTCTTGTACTGTTAAGACTTGATTATCTGTTGATATATGATCACATTCCAAATCTTCTTCATATGGATTTGCTGGAACATAATCTTGTTTAAACCATTCGTCTATTTTGATTTCTGCCATTGTTATACGAGTACGTGGATTGGGATCAAGAATCCTCTTTATAAGATTCTTTGCTCCTACGGATAGCCATTTTGGTATATGAACATCTCCCTTAAATATCTGATTTCATATAAAAAAAAAAAATTATAGTTATAAATTGTTTTATCTCTAGAGGCCATGGAATATCATACACAAAGGAAAAAGGTACAAGAAATTTATTTTACCTTTTTATAAAGTATTGCGAGGTTTTTATCGTCAAAGGGTAATTGACCCGTGAGAATTACATATAAGATAACACCACATGACCAAGTATCTGATGTCGCACCGTCATATCCTCTGTTAGAAAGAATTTCAGGAGCAACATAGTTGGGACTACCGCACGTTGTATGCAATAAACCATCATCCTATAAATAACCAAGAAAGCTCATTAAGCTTGATTAATAAAATTAATGTTTCAAATATATAAATTAAATAAATAAAATGTGTTTCTTTAACAGGTTGTGAGATGGACACACATTTCAATATAGTATCAGAGCAGACAGAAGTTCTGAATTCAAAATGTATTGTCACTCACTATCAATAAAATTTCCATGAGCTTGACCAATGAAAAATAATCAAACCCGCACGTGAGAAACGTAAATATATATCGTCAATTAAGCTCCATACGTACCCAAAATTGCTGAGGCAAAGCACTAAGCCCAAAGTCCGTTATTTTTATGTTCCCTTTTGTATCAATGAGGACGTTCTCTAACTGCATTTCATAATTATACAGATGTTAAAAATATTTATACAATCAAGTCACTTAAAAAGAAATTATAAATAACTTTATTTAATACTAGCATTGACGGGTAATTAACTTAAAATAGATAGTATGTAACCAATTATAACACACACACACACACACACACACATATATATATATATATATATATATATATATATATATATATATATATATATATATATATATATATAGAGAGAGAGAGAGAGAGAGATAGAGAGAAAAACACCGTGAAAAGAGGCAGACCCACCGCGTTGGTTACGGGTTAATATGGATATATATATATAATTCAATACTTTTTGCGAAGATAATATATTTGAAATCAGTTATTATTATAGTATTAACTTGAGATTGCTGTATATAAGGATTCATAAACTTCAAATCCTATCGGTGTATATGGGGGGAAAGGAAACTCGGCAGAAAATTAAATTCTATTGTTTCATTTAAACTTGGAGCGTGAGTCAAGGAAAATGTTTGGAAATGGTGGAATAAATGACAGAACATAACGTACTATAATACGAAGAACTATTTAGATGAAATTATATTTTAATTAAATTAATAATTCCAAACTCAGTACGTGACATTTTTTGGTAATATATAAACGTTTAGTGGAGATGTCGTGATAATAAATTCAAATTAAAATAATTGCAAATCATGTGGAACTTATTATTACTATACTACTTGCATGCCACCTTGAGTTAAAAGTCGAGGCAGACACTAATTACATCTTTTTCTAAGTAACCTAAGGAAGAAAATGAATTTTTTTTTGTCAGGAACCTAATTAAATATCGATTGAAGTAAGTAGTTTTTGTTGGGATAATATTAAAACTTTAGATGAAGATTATTATATATGTCAAATTATCAAGAAAAAAAAAAATAAGTAAGTGTACTTGAATCTATAGTGCCCCAAATATTTTTCGGTCTTGCGATTATCGATCTTCCAAATCAAGACGCAATCAGCGTGATAGAATTAACTTAGCAAGAGGATTGTTTAATTTTGTAATGATGCACTGAATATCCAACATAAAACCAAAACAATCTTGTCACCTAAGTTTTATGCATGGGCAAAGCTAGAGTATTAGGTACGAGTTTTGACGAAATCCTATAATATTGGCTCAGATTTAATATTTGTGATAGAAAAATATATTAAATATATATAAATATTTAATTTCAAACCTAATAATTAAGACGGGCAATAAATTCAATGACAAGTCCATAACCCATAAATTTTAAATTCCGACCCCGTCATTTTCGGGCCATTGGCTGAACCCATATCTCCTAGTCCGTGGTCCTGCAGACAAGCTAAGGTCCCATGTCCATATACATCATACTCCTAAATTTCCACAAAAATCATTGATTTTGACTCTTATGGTTACGGAGTAGTTCATCATGTGGTAACGTCTAGAAAAATCTCATAATAAAAATGGGGGGGGGGGGGGGGGT